ATCTACTGTGATCGAACATGATTGCTATTTTTCGGTGTACAAATAAGACTATTTAATAACTCGATGTAAAATTTGTTTCACTCTTGGACGGTCAAATTCTGATTTTTCTCTAAAATCACTCAGCCTTTGCCTCAAAAGTCAAATGAATGTGCCCTGATCTGTGGATTACAAGTTTATTGTTTGATTTAAATTATGAATTTATTAACGGGAGCTTCGCTTTTAGCCCTGGCTAAATCTATATATTATAAATTGCCGGGCTAAAAATCATGTTGTAATGTTTTGTTTTGGTTTGCAATCGATCGCGCGCTTCATCAACAAGAACGCGTCCTACTTCAACACACATAGGTTGGAGCGTAAAGGAAAATTTTCCAGAAACTTTTAAATCTCAGTTGAAAAAAAAAATAAAAATGTTATTCACCAGCCTAGGTCGGTCCGTATTGGGAGAAACTGTGCCCTCGGTCTGAGTACCGCCCTCGGCCGTATTGGGCGGTACTCTAGACCTTGGGCACAGTTTCTCCCAATACGGACCTCCCAGCCGGTGAATAACATATATTGATTTTCCCAACCTAATCATCAATGAAGAGTGGCACCTGCTATATATACTGTGGGTATTTACCTTGTCACTTTGCTGCTTGAGAAAAAATACTCCATTATCCAACTCAAGGCTTTGGGGAAAAACAATTCCCACAAACGCAGAGCATTGATGGCAAATTTGATTGGAATAAGACTAGCTTATTTGCCATTGCATGCAGTGCATGTTCCAACAGAAGTTGTAGTGCGCACTGACCAGAGGGCAACGAATAAGCATGTCAATCTGATCTTTGCTGGCTAACCTGAGTGGTATTCATTATCCCTTAATGGAGATGAACGAAAACATACTTCACAGAAAATAATATAGGGTTGTTAATTTTTCACCATGTTCGCTCAACTTATGAAGTGAAGGGGTTATTAAAGGTGGTCAACAAGTGTGGGTCTCTTAAAATAAGGTAGCTAAGCTTTGACAACCTTTTGATATAAACTGGTCACTGCATTACCGGGAAAAATAATCGTCATTCTTGTATTTAACAAGTGTACAGAGGAAATTATTAGCTAGTGCATTATATGTCACACTAAAAAGATCAATTTGGCTTCCCTAACAGGAAATTTGAAATGAAAAAAATATAGTCTAACACTTTAAAGCCTAATATCAAAATTCAAATTCTCATCTGTTATCTCTATACGTTTTCAATAGAAGTAGTGGGGAGATTTTGTTGAAGTCTCAATTAGATTGGTAATGGATTCATGATAACGAATATAGAGACATTACATGCCTTGCCCACTTTGCTCACTACAGTTACCGTAGCTACTGTAGTTTCAGTAGTTGGTGTAGTTAGTGTAGTTGGTGTAGCATGTGTAGTTGCTGTAGTTGGTGTAGTTGTTGTAGTTACTGTACAAACCACATCAACTACACCATGCCAACTACAGCAACTACGCTAACTACACGAACTACAGTAACTACAGCAACTACACATACTACAGCAACTACACTAACTACACCAACTAAAGCAACTACAGCAACTACGCCAACTACATATACTACACCACCTACAGCAACTACACTAACTACACCAGCTACACCAAGTACACCAAACATCAACTTTATCATAGTGCACTAAGTCATCACTAAATACGTCCAGGGTGTCCAGCGGCCTGGTCACTCAAAAAAATAGGAAAATAGGAAACTCGGTATTCAGAAAATAGGAAAAATAGGAAACTTTGCATTAAAAAATAGGAGAAAAATAGGAAAATAGGAAAAAAAATAGGAAAATAGGAAATCATATGCAATTCCCTTTAAGTTGGCTGCAAATCTTTGAAAAGCTTCGAAGAGTTAAAATTTCTTTGATAGAAATTTCTTACGATTCTGTTGTCATTGAAGAATATTGAACTAAAAGGTCCTGTGAAAAGCTTTCCTACCATTAATCTGCAATCGGTAGCTGGTTGAGAATATGCTTGTTTGAGTCAAAAGACAGCATACCGTTCAAACCTCTATGTAAGAGCGCTGTATATAGTGGTCACTCTGCATATTACAGTCACTGGACAACTTCCCAAAATTTTCAGTTGCCTTATATTTTCTGCAAAGTTGACCTGTATATAGTATAATAATAGTGGTCACCCTGTATATAACGGTCAGCTTGCCATTTCCCAAAGGTGACCGTTGTACACAGGTTTGACTGTAGTTTAAGTACGGAGCCAGGCTTTCTGCAGGGTATGCAAAGTGACACTGATCTATTTGGTACCAGATTGTAAGTGTGTCAATGTTCTAAGAAGAACGTAACACTCCTGCTTAGCTATGACTACAAGACCAGTTTTGGAACCAAAATATTGGATCCTTCGTCAGTTGGTTGCGTAGGTATAGCTGTTAACAAAAGCTCACCAAGAGAGCTAGTGCCGTAAACTAAACATGAGTCTGTTCTTTTCATGTAGCATACAGACTCCAGCTGGTCAAAGTGACTGTTTTTTTAAACCAAGAAGCTGATGGAATGATTTATCTGACCTGTGTTGTGAGAGGACTACTTGATAGATTTAACAATTATTCCTGGAGCCGGAATGGGCTATCGACTCACAGGCTATGAGGGCGAGAGGAATAATGTTTCAGTAAAATCCAACTAGTTGGTCAAAAATATCGAGAATAAAAAAAATTTAGCTAGTTAAAGCTAGACTAATCCTTTTTTGCCGCCAAAAACCCGCTCTTTTCGCTACTAGTGGGCTATAACATATAGCCTAGTAGTAGCTCAACCAGTCACAACGCAGCATTGATAATAGACCACTAGTGGGATTTTACTAATATTCACACCAGAAAATTATACAAAAAGTAACAATATAACAATGTTGTTAACAGAACTCTAATGGGCAATAGAGGCCATGGAAAGAAGAAATGTAACTGTTATTTTTGCTAATATTAGAACGTCAGAGTCAACATACTACTTGCGTTATGATAAATGTCACTCTAAAACACATTCAACTATGATTTCATTTTGAAATTTGTCACAAAATTCGGCCTGCCTACTAAAAAATAGGAAAAATAGGAGGTTTTAGTTTAAAAATAGGAGAAAATAGGAATAGGCTCAAAAAATAGGAAAAAATAGGAAAAAATAGGAACTGGACACCCTGTACGTCTCTATATTCGTCACGGTTATCATGAAGCCATTACCATTAGATTCATCTTCACCACTTTGTTTTATAAAGCAGTGATATTACAAGGGGAAATTTAACACTGGTCACTCTTAGAGCTTGAAGGGTTAAGCCGCCCCGTGCGAAAAAAAATAATGCAAGACCTTTTGGAAACTTTAAGACGGAATCCACTAGGCAGTTGAGTAATTTTAATTCTCAGTGGACAAAAACCTTGTACCAGAATAATTTAAAGAATATTGAATTCTTTTTTACATTTTTCAAGGCCTAAAGATGTAAATAGTCATCTGTAATAACACCAAATAAAATTTCCCATGGGAGTCCGAGAAAACGAATGTCAAATTTCAAAAGAATTGTGAAAACACAGCTAAATCTCTGTAAATTTCATATAAAGATGTAATTTTGTGAAACTTGACATTTATTTTCTGGGGCTCCCATAAGAAATTTTCTTTGGTGTTATTACAGATGTTATATTACATCTCTTGTTATTTGGGCGTGACCCAAATAGAGTACTCGAGATGGCTTGTTTTGACGAAAAGTTGCAATAGGCATGCAATACGCGCTAACGTAAACAAGGAAAGTAAAAAGGAGAAGACAGGCGAATGTCTGCCATGCGAACGTCCTGTACAAGGTAAGAGTCATGTTAGAAAGAAAGCTCTGCTAGCAAGGTACTTTATCCCACTTTTACGATCTCAAACATTAATCTGAATGTTCAGTATTTTTACCTCATCTTAATTTGGGAGTTTGAAGTCCGGAGATGAAATCTGTTAAAAATATTCGTACTATTAACGGGTTTTCCTCGCAATAAGACTTTGAGCGATGTTAAATTGTTCTGAGGTCGAGAGCGAAAGGAGATGTTGCGAAAAACTGTTGTTACTTGCCGCCTAGAAAGATTAAAAGAAAGATGACAAATACATTTAGGAATTGATGAATGAACTTAAAAGGAATCGGCTTATTGTGGGTACTAAAGGAGCATTTTAATAGATTCACCTGCGTGTTTGCTCGTAAGTGTTAAAGTCACGTATGTGGGAAAAGTGTGGCTAAGATATATGTCTGTTCTCACGTTGATTGTTTTCCTGAGTAAACCATAGCAGTGTGTACTCTGTTGGTGCAGGTTAAAGTACACTGTTGTACGAGAGTTTATCTTGATGATCTTGTCTCACATATCAAAATGTACGAATCAATAGGTAATTTGTTAGTATGGGACTTTCGTGAACTATGTGTATTTGATCTTGTGTGACATTTCTTTAACGCGACGATCGTAATTCACCAATCATAGAGTCTGTTACTGAAATAAACGCCGCATCATGAGGCGGCGTTTAACCGAAAAAATACGGAATGCTTAGCACAACCACGCCGAAAATATACGCTCCCAAAAAGTCTTGTTGAAATGTGTTTTATGATTCGACACTTTTACACTTAAACGGTTTTAATTTCCGTGTTATTGCTACCACCACCGCAGTATATTAAAAAAGCCAACTAAAATTAAATACTATACTTAAAAATTCAACTGTGTTATTGTTGAATTGCGTTTGATTGCTTCCGCCAGTGCAGAACAGTCACCAGTACCAACTTCATTCCCTTCCAAATTCAACTGTGTTATTGTTGAATTGTGTTTGATTGCTTCCGCCAGTGCAGTACAGTGACCAGAACCAAGTCTATTGTATGTCAAATTCAACTGTTATTACTGAATTGTGTTTAATTGCTTCCGCCAGTGCAGTACAGTCACCAATACCAAGTTCATTCCTTGCCAAATCCAACTGTGTTATTGTTGAATTGTGTTTGATTGCATCCGCCAGTGCAGTACAGTCACCAGTACCAAGTCTATTCAATCACAAATTCAACTGTGTTATTGTTGAATTGTGTTTGATTGCTTCCGCCAGAGCAGTACAGTCACCAGTACCAAGTTGATTCCCTTCCAAATTTAACTGTGTTATTGTTGAATTGTGTTTGATTGCTTCCACTAGTGCAGCACAGTCACCAGTACCAAGTTCATTCCTTGCCAAATCCAACTGTGTTATTGTTGAATTGTGTTTGATTGCTTCCGCCAGTGCAGCACATTCACCAGTACCAAGTTGATTCCCTTCCAAATTCAACTGTGTTATTGTTGAATTGTGTTTGATTGCTTCCGCTAGTGCAGCACAGTCACCAGTACCAAGTTCATTCCTTGCCAAATCCAACTGTGTTATTGTTGAATTGTGTTTGATTGCTTCCGCCAGTGCAGTACAGTCACCAGTACCAAGTTCATTCCTTGCCAAATCCAACTGTGTTATTGTTGAATTGTGTTTGATTGCTTCCGCCAGTCCAGTACAGTCACCACTGCCAAGTCTATTGTATGTCAAATTTAACAGTGTTATTGTTGAGTTGTGTTTGATTGCTTCCGCCAGTGCAGTAAAGTCGCCAGGACCAAGTCCATTCCCTTCCAAATTCAACTGTGTTATTGTTGAATTGTGTTTGATTGCTTCCGCCAGTGCAGTACAGTCACCAGCACCAAGTATATTCAATGACAAATCCAACTGTGTTATTGTTGAATTGTGTTTGATTGCTTCCGCCAGTGTAGTACAGTCACCAGTACCAAGTTCATTGCCTTGCAAATTCAACTGTGTTATTGTTGAATTGTGTTTGATTGCTTCCGCTAGCGCAGTACAGTCACCAGTACTAAGTTCATTCGCTTCCAGATTCAACTGTGTTATTGTTGAATTGTGTTTGATTGCTTCCGCCAGTGCAGTACAGTCAGCAGTACCAAGTCCATTCCATGACAAATTCAACTGTGTTATTGTTGAATTGTATTTGATTGCTTCCGCCAATGCAGCACTATCACCAGTACCACGTCCATTCCTTGACAAATCCAACTGTGTTATCGTTGAATTGTGTTTGATTGCTTCCGCCAGTGCAGTACAGTCACCAGTACGAAGTCCATTCCATGACAAATTCAACTGTATTATTGTTGAATTGTGTTTGATTGCTTCCGCCAGTGCAGTACAGTCACCAGTACCAAGTTCATTCCTTGCCACATCCAACTGTGTTATTGTTGAATTGTGTTTGATTGCTTCTGCCAGTGCAGTACAGTCACCAGTACCAAGTTCATTCGCTGCAAAATCCAACTGTGTTATTGTTGAATTGTGTTTGATTGCTTCCGCCAGTGCAGTACAGGCACCAGTACCAACTCTATTCATTGACAAATCCAACTGTGTTATTGTTGAATTGTGTTTGATTGCTTCTGCCAGTGCAGTACAGTCACCAGTACCAAGTTCATTCCCTGCCAAATCCAACTGTGTTATTGTTGAATTGTGTTTGATTGCTTCCGCTAGTGCAGTACAGTCACCAGTACCAAGTTCATTCCCTGCCAAATCCAACTGTGTTATTGTTGAATTGTGTTTGATTGCTTCCGCCAGTGCAGTACAGTCACCAGTACCAAGTTCATTCCTTGCCAAATCCAACTGTGTTATGGTTGAATTGTGTTTGATTGCTTCCGCCAGTGCAGTACAGTCACTAGTACCAAGTCTATTCAATGACAAATTCAACTTTGTTATTGTTGAATTGTGTTTGATTGCTTCCGCAAGTGCAGTAGAGTCACCAGTACCAAGTCTATTCAATGACAAATTCAAGTGTGTTATTTGAAGATGCGAGCCAAGAGTACGAGCTAAGAGCAGATGAAGGGTACAACTCTTTTCGTTTTTACATTCTTTAATGCATTCCAATGCAACTGACAACCTATCTTCATCGTTTACTTGCTTAGCAATACACGAAACGAACGCCTTTATCGCTTCTTCCGATTGCGAAGCTAGCACGCCGCATGTGAACAAAAGCACCTGTTTAAGCTCTTTAAAATATCTGTCGTCGGCAATTAAGATTTCTGGACAAATTTCGTTATCTAGAACCAGGCAACAGAGGTAAAATGCCGCAAACAGTTCCTGAAATGTTTTATGCAAAAAGAAATAGTTCAGAGATGGTCTCACTTTTTTAGGGCTACACTCAACGGACAAGAAGCCGAATTCAGATAATTCTTCTGAGCAATTTTTAAACTCGTGTTCTTCGAGGGACATGTTATTATGAAGCAGACCGTTCCATGCGATGGAGCCAAGCTGTCTTAGTTGAGTCTTGTATACTTTAGTGAGGTCTTCGTCTTTGGTATTTGGTAATGGTAATCCTTTCTTTTTCCTATATCTTCTAAGAACACACTCTACCATTTCTAGATACAGAACTTTCTGCAAAAATACCATCAGAGTCCTCACAAAGAAGACAAAGAAGTACAGTGTTTAAAGGACTTTCTGTCAACTGTTGGAGGTTTTCGTCAGACTCTAGTTTGTTTAAAAGCTTCTGGGCCAAATGCGTTTCCGCTTTGAAATACCTGAAAATAAACTCTCGGGCGTCTTCTTTAGTGAAACCTTCAATTTCTAGCAAGGTATCGCAACACTCTCGCACCTCCATCCCAACCTCTTGTCGTGCTGTAGCTACAATGTAACATTTTGGTAGCATTCTTCCTTGAATGACTTCCTTAAACGCTGCAAACATATTGGTAGGCAACTCATCCAATCCGTCAAGTACCAGTAAAATATCGGGCTGATTATAGCGAATGAATTTGAAGAATTCTTCTTTATCTTCTTTTGTGCAATCTCGAGGCAGAAGCTGGTCATCAATAGCGTCCCAAAGGACAGACTTGAAGATTTCGTTCACTTTCTCTTTTTCCGATCGAGGGAGAGGTTGTCCTCCGGTGGCCTCCAAAAGGCTAGACTCTATTTCTCTGCATTTAAGCAATAAAACTACTTGGACGTTTGGAAAAAAACTTGCTGAAGGATTTTCTGCCACTTGTTTGTTGGCTGCCCAATCGTAAGCAAGTTTACTACAGAATGTGGTCTTTCCAATACCTGGCCTCCCTTCAATTAAGACCGTCCTAGGATGAGCGCATTCTTCGTGGGGTTTGAAGATATCTTTCATTGTAACAGTTTCATCAGTCTTTATTCCCCTTTCTTTCTTTCTGCTCACTATTTTGAGTCTGGTAAAATTGTTATCAAGGCTTAATCGAAACTTTTCCCACCATGGGAAGGGCGCAAACCATCTTTCACGGGTGCTGTATAGTTGGCGAATGCCATCAACAAATCCATTTGGGTAAAAACCACCTGAAAATAAAAGATACGTAGTGTTTAAGTCGAACCTCCACTATACAGACACCACCTTAATACGGACACCTCGTTGTTTTATGGACAGTTTGTTTTAACATTGGCGAGAGCCCTTATATTGTCTCAAAATTCAACCCGCTTAAAACGGACACCTGTAAGTAAGTCACGTCTGTTGAGTGCATGGCATATAACTACTAATTCGAGGGTCCTACAGATGTTTCGAGCTCTTCCGAGTTTCCACTGACTTTACCCCGTTTTTGAAGTTCATTACGGGAAAGTGAGAAAAACAAGTTTCACTCCTTTAAAGCAAAACATTCAAATTATTTCCTTTCCACTAAGTCTTGCTTTGTGACGACTCAATCTAAAGGCAGCGAAACGACGATCACGGTTATAATTCTTTTCATCTATTGGCTGATAGAGCTATTTTCAATCTCTAGCGACAAGCACAGTCTGTTAATAGAGATCAGCTTAATGAAAACAATGGCGACGGTAACGAGTGTCACTAAAACTTAAGGTAATTCCCTTGTTTTGCACTGCGCATAACATGACGACGTCAAAGCTGGTGGTGATTTTCACCAGTCACCTGAAAAGAGGTAACGGCTCTCTTTATAGTTTTAATCGTTTTAACTCTCCCCGGCTAAAATGGTGTTGGGCTTAAAACTCGCCCTAGTCCCCGCGCGTAAATGCCCATTTGAGGCCGGAATTGCCCCTTTGTTGTCTCTTTGCAAGGAAACGAGAACGGTGATCCCCCTTTTTTATTGGTTTTTACTGGTTATGGCTACAAGAAAAATATATGTAAAGGAGAAAAAAATCTGGTTAGTAGAAGTTGTATTTTTTTTATAAGAATGACGTAAAATGCCGCATTTGGAGACACAGTATAAACGGTCTATGTTTTAAATTACTTCCAAGATCGAGCAATTTAAAGTCACTATACTGAAAAATTATAGCCCAGATCAACAAACGGGCTTTAGATTTTAGTATGTTTCATAGGGTTTTTTTTTTGTACGAGAATGATTTTTGACGGTTGTTCCAGCTTTGAACATTCCGTGCGCAACTTGGCAAAAACACTTAGAATAACGGGCTCGCGGGGCGAAATCAAGCAAGGTGACCTTATCCTTTTACTGCAGATTTTTAATATACTGACTGTCAATTGGACCAAGTTTTAAAAAAACTGGATGGTACACCCTAGTTGTTAGACGGGGTCTAGGGTTTATCGTTGATATCCGAGAAGACTAGAAAGTCTAACCGTTTGCAGATGTCTTTCCAAAGGCAGCACTTTCTCCTCAGATATTTAAACACCCTGAGTGTTGGTCCGGCCAGGGTTTGAACCAGCGGCCTCCAGCTCGGCAGACCTGCGCTTATCCAATTGAGCAAACCAGGAAGGGTTATTGAAGTTCGGTGTTATGAAGCCCGGCCAACTTCACTGTCATGTTTTTGTTAGCTTTTTTGGACTTGACCGTGCACCTTTCATTGTGAACTAATGGACCAATAGCAACGTCCTATAAATTTATTCAGTCATAATTTGTGAACCAAGACAAAAGATTGTATGTAATTTACATGTTTCGAAAGAAGAAGCAACTAGTTTTAATAATGTCGTAAACAAAAAAGTTTGCGGCTCGAGGAGACGGCTGAAATTCTGGCTATTTTTATTCCTGAATGTCCAGATCATGGGAAGGAAAATAGTGCAAGTGGTCCCGTTAGCTAAGTAGAGGAGACAGGTTCTGCAAGCTGGCAAAAATCAAAGATGGAAACAATGGGGTGCAGGTTATGTTGGGAGCTCGCTGAGCGTGTAACTTGAAAGATGGGTGCCCTTAAATGCAGAAACTAAATTCTGTCACTGAATTGGAAGCATAGTTTTCTTTGAGAATCTCTTGATTGATTTTAATTTTCCAACAATTTAAGGTCGAGATTTTGAACATTGAATCTGCTGAATATTCAATCTGCTGTTATTGACGACTCTGTGTAAGCATAGTATTTTTGTATAAAGAAAGAAAAAAGACGAAGCAACTAGTTTTAATAATGCAGTAAACAAAAAATACACCATTAAAGGCCCACTGGTTTTATGTTATGCTTTAGTTGTGTAAACGCTGTATTTTCAGTCAATTTTTCGCACGTTGCTTTATAGTTTTTCCGATAAAACGCACACGGTTTAAAGAGCAAAAACAGTTGTAAAACTAAAAAGAAACTCATTATACGGTTCGATAAATCTTTGTAATTCGCAATTATTGAATGAATGATAAGTGACTTTATTATAGTTGCTACATTTTGCATGATGTGCCGTGTGCTTTTGTTCATATTTATTGTTTCAAGGAAATGTATTAGTCGGTTGCTCTATTCAAACCTGCTGGCTACTTCAATTTTTATTGCAACCCCTCCAGCCGGATGGGCCACTTGGTTGAAAGCCGGCTTTAATCTACCCACCACTTAACTGAGGGATTGATATGGCTTTATTGCAGACTCCTTAATAGAAGACTTCTCCCACGCAAACGGCGATCTAGAAGCTGGTTCCGATGTGGTTGTTCACAAGCCATAGTCATAAAGTGCAATGGTTATGAAGCCCGTCAGACGTCTTTGTTATATAAATATTTTTGTCAGCTTTCTTTGACTTGACCGTTTATTAGCATTCCTACCATGTTGACTGAATCAACAAGTAGAAACGAACCAAAATCAAACGATTGTGCATGGTAAGGGAGATCTCAACATAAACTGCAACACCGTTGATTTTAGGCAGCTTTCATAACCATTCGCCTCTACCAACTATATTTTAGCAAAAAAGTTTCGAACGATCTTAACAGAGTTTCATTATACCCTTAGTAGAGTTCTATACCTTGGTCATGATGAGTCTGCTTCACGTTTAAATCTGAAGGGCCTGCAGCAACACCAGGTCTAACGGTACCACTTGCAATACTTGCCTCTCTATGATCTAGGCGTTCAAGAATACAAGAAACAAAGAATGTTAACTCGAAAAAGGTCAGCTATGCCGAGAGCATAATCATGTATACTTCGATCTACTAGGTTATCAGTTTAAAAAATTGCTAAAAAATGGCAATAATCCGAATGTTGGGTGGTAAAATGGTCATCGAGAAATGAAGATTTTGAAGACAAGGAATGAAGGGGAAGACAGAAAGCCCTAAATAAAGCAGCTAAAGGCTACGTACAAAAGAGGAACTTGGCAAGGTAGCCTCAAAAGTTAGCAAGCCAAGTCTGGAGCAGGTTTATGAAAAGCGAGGGTTGGAAGGCCCCTGATATGGTAAAAAAAAGCTCTGCTCAGTCCACCAAGCAACGTTAACGTTCAGCGCGCTTGTCTCAAATTTGTAAAGAAATACTTAAGTCTCACTGTGGAAAGGCTTTCTTTTGTAGATTAACGCCCAAAATATATATATATATGTATATATTTTCTTTTTTTTCAGCTGCCTGATCTAAGAAACGATATTGTTTGGGAGTCGAAGTGGCTCTTCCGTACCAGGTGATAAAAAACCTCAAAATGGATCATCTGGGCCTCTACCGGCGCTACATGACTTATCCAACTCCATGCCCAACGTCTTTACGGAATGTGATAAAAAACAAATCGGGCATGCCGGTTACTGAACTTCTGAATACAAGTACCCGATAGAGCAATAAACATCGTTGAGAAATTTCATGTAAAAATAAAGTTTGGATCAAAAGTTGTAACGCATGACCACTTTTGGGATTACTCAACTGGACTTTTCCTTTGTTTTTAAGTTCTCGTAAGCGACCACTCAGCGGCCACGTGACTCGGAGTCATATTCATATAAATCAACACTTAAATGAAACTGCACACTGCGCTAGTGATATAAAAAATTGGACGTAAAGGTTAGCCGTGTCTTTATCAGATAGAAAAGACAGTCAATAAACATTTCTTTTGTTTTTTCTTTATAAATTATTAATGATTTTCTGTAGCTCTCGTAAGGGACTACCCCGCATTGTTTACAACGCGGTCGCTTACGAGAGCTCATTCCCAACCAGCTCTAATTACAACCACTTTTTCGAATTTCTCAGGTGGTCGCGTAAAAGAGCTTCAGCTGTGAGTTCCATTGCGGACTTTCACTAATTTCCCCGTAAAGCCCTTTTTATTGTTTTCTAAATTTAACCCGCTTAAGACGGACAAATAATAACGCAGACACTGTTTATGGTCCTTAAGTGAAGAACTTATCTGTAGATCTTACATGTTCCTTTATCATTGCTTTCTTGTCCGGCTGATGTCAAGGCATCTAACTTTTCTCTAATGGCTGTTATCTCACCTTTGATCTCAAATTTTTCTCTGTCTGGGGATACAAATTTAAGCAAAACTGTCGTTTGTTGAGAAAATACTAAGTATTGAAATGGGTAATGGGCGGCGTGGTTGCCTGATGGTTATAGTGCTGTGAACTCTGGATCGAGATTTCGGGGCTGAAGCCCTGGCGGCCGTCACTGCGTTGCATTCAGTGTGCCTCATTCCACCCAAGTGTATACATGGATACCAGCGAATTTAATGCTAGGGGTAAACATGCCTTGGACTGGCATCCCATCCATAGAGTGAAAGAAAAATTCCTCGCCGTGTCAATGAATACCGGGACAAGTCTAAATGGATGGCCCAGCTTGGTTCGAACGCAGAGGATTGAAACTCGGGGACCCGTTATAACTGTAATCTCACGATTACGGGGATTTTCCTAGCAAATCGCAAAGCCCGTTACTCTCCTCAAATTCGTCTGTAAGGGAAGCAGGTTCACTCAAAATCTTCATTGCTTGAAATACTAGAATACTGATACTGTCCATATGCATATTACCTTCATTTGCTAAAGTTTTCAGTTTCTCGCCCATGTTTCCTAGTTCGCTTTTGATCTCTTCGAGGTCTTCTCTGATTTTTTCTGGGGACGACATTCATTGTTAGTAGAAGAGTACAATTATAACTAGACTGCAAAGAAGTCGGTTTTTTTCTCAAAATCGGTAAAGCGTAGCGTAAGAGTCTTAAGCGCGCTTTTTTTCAGCCTCTCTCCATACCTGTTGTTTGCGCGTACTTAAATACGAAAAAAACAGACTGTTTTGCGGTTTAAATTATAACAAGAAACAAGTATTAAGAAAGTTTATTATCTCTTTAGCATGAAAAAACCCTTCAGTGTCTTCTTAGTTGTGACATGCAGTAAATGAAAGGAATTTTGTAACTCAATAATTTTATCACTGTGCGCTCGCAAAGTAGCAGCCCCCGTTACTTTCGGAATTAGGGAGCTTTAGCAACGACGACGGCGACGGCAACGAGGACGTCAAAAAAGCTATAGGTTTATTACGCAAAACAACAACTTTGCACGTGCATCACGCTTTTCTGTACATTTCTTTACCGTTCTTGCACGACTACGTCGTGAAAATGCCTAATTGCAAGTTTTATGGAGGACGTAAACAAGCGACGACGAATCTCTTTTTTTTTCTCTCTAAACTTGAGTGCGGTCCTCAAGAAATCAACTCCAGGGAAATTCGCCTACACTTGCCATTTTCAGCAAATTGGAATAAACGCGACAAAGATTGAAACAACGGGAATTCATTTTAAAACTGACGTTTTCGTTGCCGTTGCCGTCGTCGATGCTAAAGCTCCCTATTAGCAGGCCAGAGGGGCCGCCACTTTTGGGTGGCCGTAACTTTCAGATAGCCGTTACTTTAGGGTGACTAAAATGAGTCACTAATTAAATAAACGAATTGACCACGACTGCGCAACAAGCATAATGTCGCTTTCATCCTCAGTGAATTTTCTCTGCTCCATAACTTCAATTTCTCGACGTTCGGGATCGTGTAACACTACTCTAGCCTTAGTCCCACCAGAGAGAACAGGCAAGGTGCAGCCTCTTGACGTTTAGCCTGTTCACAGACCCTTTATTTTCTCTTTAGAGATCATCAAGCGCGCGTATGCAATTGATAGTAAGCCGCTGTTCTTTTCACAAAATGGCTGGAGGGCAAGCTTGGCCGCAAGAAATCTCTACGACGTCCATGAAAGGATACCAGTACTGATCACTATTCGCTCGTTGGTCAAATGTGGTACTACCGTCCCAACGACTGGGGAACGGTATAATGAAATTAACTTTAGTGTCAATTGGTCACTCCAGTGACAATGAGGACCTAATATGGTTCCACGATGAAAGCGATGAAGAATGATAAATGCAAACCTATAGAAGAACAATGAACGCTAGATACGTTATGGCAACTTCGTTTGAAAAAAATTTTATCAGTTCAATTGAAATATTAGTTTCTTGTTCTTGTTCTTGTTTGATATTAGGCACTGATGGATGGTACAGTAGATGAAGGGATATTGCTTTATAAAGGGCAAGAAAAAAAGGAAGGTCTGAAAAATGGAACACTACAGTATCCACAGACGAGACCTTTCCAAGAATGTTGGGAACAAGGGATCATATCCATTCTCTTTTACGTGTCAAAGGATAAGAAAAGCATTGATTTTCTGCTTTGGAAGGATATTGGATCAGTATATTGTTTTTTCCAAAAGGCCCTTATTGGACAACAGTTTTGCTATTTCTCCTGTCTCTCACAGTTAGTTGCAACGTTGTGACTTGGTCGCTACAGGACGGAGGCCTGGAAACAATTTTGCTCTTCATAAATTAACCGGACACCTGTTTGTTAAATGGCAAAAACTAAAACAAAAGGAAAGTGTACTACGCTCGAAAAAAAAAATCAACAGTTTGGAATATACCAGGAAGAAAACAGTGACAGGCTAGCCGATCTACATAGGCTGAAAGCAGCTTGATATAAAATTGTTTTGCAAATTGCGAAGGCTGGAATGTGATACAGCTTCTGTAAGGTATAAACAAGGTGGCTTCTGTCCTTTTTATCACAAAGTTTAGAACATACAGTTTTCTTGGTTTGCTTCCTCTATCGGATCTGCTGTCAAACGTTGTAGCTTGTCGCTGATTTTTTTCTCACTTTCGAGGATCTGATCATTCATGTTCTTTAGCTGTTCTGTTTATTATCAAAAAATGCACATAATGCACCCAAAATTTTGCATAAGCTTGGACTTCAATTTGTGTGCAAGGACTGTAACACCCGGGAGAAATTGGGAAAAAATGGTTACAAAAAATAAAGCAAAGTGCAAACAAAGTGTATTATTGGCAATACAAAAGTTACGTATAAGCCCTGTAGATACATGCAATATAGGAGGACATGTAAACCTATCTTTACTGCTCATGAGGCAAGTTGTGACAATAACACCTCAAAGGTTCGAGAGTTTCTCATCATGAGTGTGTGGTGGCTTCATGTTCTTTAAGTAGAGGAAAAGAAGGTAAGGGCAGTTACTCAAGAAGTGCTTAAATCCATGTAAATATAAATAAGATTGAAAATGAAAGTATAGGGAAAACTTGACTCGTTGGCTTGGGGATAAGTATTTATACAAAAACCAAACAGTATTAATTGCACGTCAACCTAAGTTCTTGAATCAGGCTTGTATCATGACGCAAGGTAAATTTTGTGGTTCAATTTTATCCGTGTTCAAAATTTTGTTTTCAACAAAAATATTTTTTGTTTTCATTCAAATTCTTGTGTACGGTCATGTACGATACTGAGCACACAAAAAAACAAAATGAAAATTGACCACACAAAATGAGAACATGTTATTTGATTGAGGAGGTCGTAACTCTTATTTTGTAGGGGGAGGTGAGGAGTTAAGAGGGCTACCCTACTGATTTCAATAACGACTGGGGTTCCCCCACCCAACAGACTGAGTCATCTTAAAAAAGGTGTCTTAATTTTACCACGGAATTGATTATTAAACCCTGTTAATGGCCAACATACCTTCAAGTTTGTCTCGTGAGTTATCGCTGTCTTTCTTTAGTTCCTTTAACAATCCTTAAATGAAAAAATAGGTACAATAAGAGAGTGAAGAAAACACAGTTCAAGTTACTAAATACCAAATGTTTGTTTTGTTTAAACACCTTGACTCTGCACACTGTTATGGGGGGTCTACATTTAAAACAAATCGGATTTGATCTCAAAACATTGCAAGTGATTTTGGTGAGTATTAAGGTTTGTCCTGTGTGGTTATTTCTGTCTTGGGAATTAGAACTTGCCTGAAAGTCTTAGTCTTATAAACAAGGTCTCAGCATCTTTGACTTTATTACTGTATTTGAAACCCCTTCTTGATATAATCAGTTAAACATGTTGGGAAAAGAGACTGCATTAGTTGCAAAGGCAAAAAAAGTCTAAGACAGTAGTAGTGTTTTGCAGATTTATATCCCCTTTTTGGGTTTGTCTAATTTTCCAGGGGACCAGTCTAAACAGCCACTTTTAATAGCAAAAACTATAAACTTTAAACTGTAGATAAACCTTTAAAGGGATAACACTTTAATAATAATTTTATAGTCAGATGATATAAAATTTTGTTCAGCTCATAAAACTTCGTGTCAAGCCGTGTCTAACACTAAAAAAGTTGATGATAAGGAGATGATGGCAGACGTTGCAAGTGTCATCTTATTACTAGCAGTCTGAGAAGAAAGACTGCAACAAATTATACAAGCCAAAGAAGAAGATTCCGTGTTTAGGCAGATCACAACTTACTGCTTCCAGAAGTGGCCTGACAAGCACTCATTAATGAAAAAGGATACCACAAAAACCTACTGGCAGTACAAGTGGAACTCTCTGTTGCACAGAACCAGGACGATCTAGGATCGTCATACCCACCTCCATGTGATTAGAAATCCTCGCAAAGATCCATAAAGGACACCACAGGATTGCAAAATGCCGAGAGTGAGCCAAGAGCTAGGTGTGGTGCCATGGAAAAGCAGAGATGACCAGGAACTAGTGCAACAATTCAGGAGATGCGCACTACACATAGACACAGGCCTGAACAGCTTATTGCTGCACCTCCATTGTTCCTGGCAGAAGGTGGCTTCAGTCCTCCATGAATTGAAAGGCATGGGCTACCTGGTAGCTTTTGACTACTTTTCAAGGTATGTGAAAGTGGCAGCCATGGAAAAAACAACAAAGTCAACTGAGATCATCAGGACACTGAGGGCCATATTTGCCACACAGTACAAGAGATCCCCGAAAAAGTGTGATCTGAACAAGTTTTTCAGTTTGACAAATCAGAATTCATTAATTTTTCTAAAGAATAACTAGAAGATTTAAACACACCACTATTAGTCCAAGATTTCCCCAGCTGAATAGAGAAGTCAAGCGTGAGGTCTGTACAGTCAAGAACATCTTAAAAAATAAAAGGACCCAGCAAAAGGGCTGCTCGCTAACAGATCAATGCCACCAGCATGCCAGTACCTTCCTGCCAAGCTGCTAATGGAAAGGCAGACCGGAAAAACTGTACAAAAACATTTGACACTCAGCTTGACCCAAGGTGGTTTGATCTGCAATCACTGTGAGCAAAAGAGACCATCTTTCAACAGCAGGCACAGAGCCCTGCCTTTGAACCCAACAGATCCTGGCACAGACGTTTACATCAAAGACCTCCAGCGCCTGGATATCTCGTAGTAATAGCTGCAGAGAAACCTGACTTGTATGAGGTGAAGACACCCGCCAGCACCAGAAAGAGAAGAAACTGTGCACACCTAACACCATTGCCAAAGCAGAAATAGCACCAACCTACACCAAACAAGACAAACACTTCAACAACTGTCACAACTGACATTGCTGATGCCAAGGTACATTGCAAATCTACAAGCACTACCCATAAAAAAAAATACCAGTTGGGTAGAGAATTTTAAAAGGTGACACAATACTATGTTTACTGCATAGTTACATTTATCATTAATTTATTTTCAGTGAATACTCGAATGTATGGAGTATGTGGCCCACTTTCAGCGTTAGGATTTCGGACTTACAATACTGCATGTAGATATACAGCGTGTATCAGGTCATTAAGTCCTCTATACACATTTTAACTTTAGGTCATCTGATATGTAATTCCAGGACTGATCTGTGATCTTATCCATCCAATCTTGATTTGTCAAAGTGATAACAGTCTACTAATAACGGCATGTGTTGCAGTCGTGAAGTACTAAAGAATCCACTTGCAAGTTAAGTGTACTGGTACATTATGAACTGATGATTTCCAGACCTACACTGCTGTATGACAAAGTTAACGTTGAAGCATTTTTCGTGCATAACCTTGTAAAGTGGTTATTGTGATAACTAGTCAGTGCAGTTATTACTGTCAAAGGCTGCAGTTACACCTGTCTTACAGATCTTCGTGGCCCATTATACATTTATCTGGTAAAGTAAGTTCCACCACATAAATCCAACTCTTAATATTCAGTAGGCGTAATTCCAATAGACTTCACAACTCACTTACACTGGAAAAAACGCAGACTGAAAAGTCAGGGAGGGCCTCAGTGGAAATATAGGGTTGAATGATTGAAACAATGGAAGGCTGATTAGGATGAACATTTTATATCAAAAACACCAATAACCATGAAATTTTATATAATGTGGTCCTGAACTAATTTGCAACTAATTAATGAAAAGTCAAAACTTTGAAAAAGTAACCATTGACGACAGAAAAATTCTTTATTGTAAAAAACGAAAAAAAAACCGTCAACCGGTCAAAATTTTATTCTAAAATGAAATATCATAAGTTTTTAACCAAGAGAACACCAAACCAATCCATTTCAAGATACGACTGTTACCGAGAAAGAGTTCTATAAAACTTATCAATGCCCATTTTGTCATGTTGCAGTTAAATTTAGCGACACTCTCCTCTAGCAATTTTTCCCTTTTGTACGATTATTAACTGTGGAACTTTCTTTCATTTGGAAAGAAGGCTGGGATAAGAGCATAAACTGTGTACTTCAGTTGCACAACGTATTTGCACAACTATATCTGAACAGCCTATGTAATTTGCCTACTTTTGTTTAACATTTTTCAATCAACACGTCTTACAAAGGGAAATCCGTTAATTAGCAATCCTGTTGAAATGGAATACCCTTGGGAGGTTTTTGAAGCTGTCTAAAATACTCACAGTACATGTATTAACACGCGTTAAAAATTTTTGTGCTTTGTGCTCAATTTTAACTAATGATAAAAAAAATTCTGTTCTTATTTTGAACATTACTTAAGCTGATTCCTGTAACCAAAAACTCTGTACATCACTTGTTAGTCAGGACAATCTCAAAGTGCATCTTCTGCAGCTGTGGCTGACCTCTTTGTCATAGGCGTACGGCCAATTTTTTGCCAGGGAGGGCGGTAATACATTTGCCCAAAACATTCTTGCAAGTTGCCCAAATTTTTACAAAACAGTCGAAAGGAAACTAGGGCCATGCAACAAAATAGGCCGTACTGGCATATGAAAGTGGCTCGATACAGTTTTTCAGAGTCAATATCTGCAAAGTTTGAGCATAAAACAAGCATTTGGAAAAAAATGCCACCACAGTTGTATTAGATAAAGAGGGAAATTTGTCATGATCAGGATTGCAATGACATCGGAGTTGTCATAGCAACGAAATGACGCCATTACCTATTATACTTGCAGCAATATTTCTCACTGGGAACTGTTCTTACAAAATCGTTCAGGGGAGCTCTTTCCTCCAATAGTCGCCTCGATATTCGTGAAGTTAAAACGGAACTGTAAGAGCGTTATCGAGATATTTTGGGATGAAGTTTTTATTGTTAGAAATAAGGTAAAAAAGGAAAATCTTGATGTTTAGTCGTAATCTGAAGAAAATGGAGCGCTTTTGACATGCAATTTCACCTCATAGTAGTTTCAGTCATTTTAAAAACGTGTGCCGGGGAAAGATCATGGAGATAGCTCCTGCCAATTGCTATAAGGAAGGATTTGATTAGCGCTCGATCTTGTTCGGGGTTTTGTAAACATTTCGGTCTACTTAAACAAATTAGTGAATAATTTTTAAACCGCTCGATAGATTTTTAAAAAAAATTATGATTCTTCTCGTATTTCAAACTGAAAATTAGTCAGCCACTTCACTTTCAGACCCATTGCTGATGCGTGTTCTGTCACACACTGTTCTAGGAGCGGAGGTGATTCTAGAAAGTTATGCGGAAGTTTATTCTAATCAATTCACGACTGGAAATAGCCCATTCCCAACCTCGTCCCCAGGGCTTTTCCCTTAAAAAATGGGTGGGGCGGGAAAAGCCCTGGGGACGAGGTTGGCCCATTCCAGCTAGTACAGTGAAGTACAGTGCCCAACAATAAAAAAAATCAACATATGATACCCTTCCCTTATAACCAGAGACTCATCTCGTGCTAGGCAACCACTGTCTCGTGTGAACGTAACTGAATTATTACGCCGACTTCTGGTTAAAATAGAAAATATTTATCTCTTCAAAATAATAATAATGATAACAAACATGGAAACATCTTTAAAAACTGGCTTTGCCCAAATTTTCTCCTGCTGCCCAAAAAATCTGAGTTGCCCAAACTTTGTGCTCTTTGTTGAATGAGTTACTCTTAAAACATATGAATTTGCACATTATTCAGCATTTTATTATTGTAAATAATAAATTAGTACTATTTATCATTGTCTACATTATAAATTACATATGAAGATCCTCAATAGTGGGAACACAATAAAGTCTATAGTACTGTATTGAATCGAATATAGTACTATATGGTTATTTCTTTTATCCACAATAAATATTCGTGGTGCATTTTCAAGTTACCTTCAATCTCATCAAGTCTGTCTTTGCTGCTATCATCATCTTTCTTCCACTCCATCAGTAATTCTTGGTAGTGTTTCTCGATGACAGGATCCATACTCTCAGTCTTCAGCTTATTGATAGCGGTGGCATCTGCACCCAGTCCTACCAATGCATTACTGAAATCCTGCCAATAGGAATTAAATGTTGCATCATCCACAGATGCCTGGCTGGCATGTCCATAGACATGGTTTCTGTAATACTTCACCCTAGCTATGTTGGCTTCAGCACTTGTATCTGCAGCAGGTGGGAGATTATCCCAACCAGTGGTTGGAGGAATCAAGCCACATATATTCCTTAACAGCAACATCAGCAGTGTGACATCAAAATCTTTAGAAGATACGGATGAAGGTGTAGAGGGGTACAGCTTGGCCCATTGAGTGGGATTGAGAATTCTCTTCTTTCTAAGTGCCTGCAGTATTGGATGTACTGGAGGCTTTGTAAGAACTCCATGTAGGCCTGCTGGTGGGTAAATGTTATCAAACTTGTTTCTCAATGCCTGGGATCCTACATCCACAAGAAGACGACACAGACGGGCATAATTTGTTGTTTCCTTGGTGGATGCATATGAAGGTGTAGCATCCGAGGCCATGTTGAATAAATTCTGCTAGCTGTAAATTATGAAAAATAAAATTTGAAAAAAATAACAATAGGAAAATGGGCAACCATAACTTATGCAGCATTAATTAAAGTACATTGAGTGATCAACCCAAAGGAATTAGTTACACAGGGTACAAAGCTAAACAAGAACTCCACTGCATGGTGGATGCATATGACAGTGTAGCAGCTGAAGTCATGTTGAATAAATTTTGTTAGTTGTAGGCTATTTAAGGTACTTCCCTTGTTTTGCACTGTGCATCACCTAGTGCGCATAACATTGCCACTTCAAAGGTGCAACTAATCGGTCCCTTTTGTAGTCCAAGAAATGCTTTTAATAGCAATTTTGATAATTCTACCTGGCTAAACAAGTGTTTGTCTTGAAACTCGCCCCAGTCTTCTTGCACAAAATGTTCATCTAAAGTGGGAATTATCCCTTTTTTTGTCGTTTTGCTATGAAACTAGAATGGTAACATTTTTTTGCTTTTTTACTCATTATGGTCACACAAAATATATGTATTAGGGAGAAAAAAATCGGGATAGTAGAAGTTGCATTTGTTTAGATATGAATGACGTGAATTTTCACATTTAGAGCCACAGAGGACACAGAGAGGTACGAGATAATCTTAAAACTGCAGTCAATTTCCCTACAGGTAATTTGACGTCTCTTTTAAAACTGAAAAAATATAGCCCAGACAAACAAACATGCTTAAGGTTTAGTACATTGTAAGATTCAATAGTGCTTGCTATAAAATAAGAATTCTTGAAGGTTGTTTAAGTTTCAACCACTTTGCACACAGATAGGAAAAAATACTCAGAATTACAGGCACACTAGTCAGGGCAAAAACAAGCACTGGGACCGTATCTTTTTATTGCAGTTTTTGAATGTTCTATTATATGGCTGACATTTGTGCCAAGTTTGAAAAAATCTGGATAGTATAAACATTTTCAAGGGAATAACCTTAAAAATAAAATAAAACAGTTACCATAGGAAAATGGGCAACTGTCATTTAAATAGCCACAAGGAATTGTAGGACAGCTAACCTCAAGGATAAAAATTCCCATTAATTTTCTTTCACTGAATATTACTACAATGCATACACATGTTCAGAGCACTTTTTTTATAGAAAAGGACATGAAGTCATGCACCCAAAGTCTTTAGTTACACAGGGTACAAAGCTAAAGATTCCATAGCTTAGGATTTTTAACCAGTGCAAAAAGTGCCTCAGGGGGCCTGGGCTCTAATCTACAGTCATAAACTGTCTCTAAAGCAGAAACCGTTGCAAAACTGTATTTAAAAAAACTGCAGACTATACGAACCATAGTGTTTCTCAATTTCATATCTTTGATTGGTTTAAAAATGTAAATTGAATTCTCCTTTAACTCTTCCTTTTATCAAATTAAAGTTTCATTTTTGGTGTGCTTGAGAAGAATGGTCATCTTCCCTCACTGTTCAGTTGATAGGCTGATCTTTGCATGACTTGATCACGTTTCGGTAAACACAAAAACAGTTCACTTTTGAAAACTTTTGTTAGCACAAGCTGAAAGAGCATTAAAAATAGAATTTTCAGCCGTATATCTCAAAAGTAGCAGTTGCAACGGACACTGAAAGTTAGAAGCATTTGTATGAGAAAAACAACTTTTGCCATCCAGCCACGCTTGTTGCATGGTTTTCCATATAAATCCTTAAATTTTGAAATTTTCCCAACTGTCATGAAATATTTCCTTACAACAGCAACAACAACAACAACAGTTTATTTCTACTACTGTAGACAACTAAAAGACTTAAGCATTACAGGGCTCAAATCTCCTTTTAATTCATAACAGACAATTTGAGCACTTAAATGGATAAGAAAAGGATTACACGATAGTTTAAAAATTTTAGAGTTTACAAGGATTTGTATGGAAAACCATGCAAGCATGACTCGATGCAGAAGTTGTTTTTCTCATACAAAGGTTTCTAACTTTCGTCGGCTGTTACAATCGCTACTTTTGAGATATACAGCTGAAAATTCTCAGGTAACCTAATTTTAATAAGGCAGGTACAAAAGTCGGACCGGATCAACTTGGACCGCCAGTCCGGGTCGGATCAACTCGGATCGACTTGGACCAACTATGATCAAATAAAAAAATAAAAATAAAATAAAATTGGACTCGGATCAACTCGGATTATAAAAGGAAAAATAAAATCAGTCGGTATCACTTAACTTTCACCCGCCATTTTGTTTTTTTCTCACGAACTCGTGGTTGCATAAATTAATTTTATTTTTATTTTTATTAATTCTAATGATACACTAGTGAGCAGCACAGATACACTTCCAGTGAACATTTTCTACTTGGAAGGAGGAGAAATCATGCTCGCCCGGGACAACGAAAATTTTCGTATCCCGGGCGAGAATTGAACTCACGACCCTCCGAATACTACATGTTTATCAGACGTTCCAACCACTGAACCGGAGGGTCACGAGTTCGATTCTTGCCTGGGGCATAGAAATTTCCTTTGTCCCGGGCGAGCATGGTTTCTCCTCCTTCCAAGTTGAAAATGTTCACTGGAAATGTATGTGTGCTGCTCAGTAGTGTATCATTAAAAATGAGTTTCAGAAGTCATGCAGAAAAAAAACAAACAGGAACAAGCAAACAAGCACTCTTCGGTAACTATCTAAATGCGATTAACTGAACAGGCTTTTGATGCTCTTCTCATAAATAATTCAGTACACTTATTAATCAAAAATTATACACATAACTTATGATCACGCTCACCTCAACTTCTTTGCTTTGTGACAAAAAGCTGCAATAAAATAAAAAATAAGCAAATATATATTCTAGGCGACTGAAACTATCATTTTCTTGGAATGAAGCAGATTCATTGAGAAAGATGGTCGACATTTTACCTTCCTCGAGGTCATCCATGGCTGAAGCAGAGCGCATCGTGTAACGCAACCACACTACCAGTTTATAACATGATCCGAGAGGAACTGGCACTAGTAAAACAAAATGGCGCCTGAAAGCCACGGAGAAAAACAGGATGATCTGGCCTTTTTACCCTCCAAATGGCTTAAACTTTCAGTTTTGCTGATTTAATTTAATTTTTTTGATTGCTCCGAGTTGATCCGAGCCCAATTTTATTTTATTTTAATTTTTTTATTCAATCCGAGTTGATCCGACCCGGACTGGCGGTCCGAGTTGATCCGGTCCGACTTTTGTACCTGCCTAATTTTAATATGCTCTTTCAGTTTGTGCTAACAAAATTTTTCAAAAGCGAAATGTTTTCATGTTTACAGAAAGTTCATCACATGAGCAAGTCATGCAAAGAGCCTACTGTGCTTTCCTTCCCCACAAACATTAAAGGGAGAAGAGACTGTGTAAGGAGACAAAGAATGTTTGTGTGGTGGGAGGCTGGGAGCTAGAAATAACTGTTTTAGAGAGTCCCCAATAGGTTTTTTGGGATCCAGGATTAAATTTCTCTTATTTGAGGCTCAGGATTTGGGATTTTAAAGCAAAATAGGGGCGAGATTCAGGATGAAAGTCTGCACAAAAGGTGGGATCCAAAAAATACAGTCTGTAACCCTTGAGATCACAGGACTGCATGAAATTTTGGGTCAGGATTAATTACGGGATTGAAAGAATGGGGGGACTCTTGTTTTATACAGGTCAACAATCAATTTTGCTAACCTTTTCCTTTCTAAAGCTATGTATTTAAAAAACAGTCCATAGTTCACTTTTATACTTAAGTCCATGTTTTATACCCAGTCTTCAGTCTGTGGTCCGCAGTCCACAGTCCATGTTTTATACTGAAAAACATATTGTTTGCTATGCGTATGAAATAGTAAAATATAATAAAAGGTATTCTGTGACTGCATGTGACTCCCTGCTTTAATTTTCTGCTGAATATTGTGTTAAAAATAAGCAATGTTGAAATAGAAATATGTCTCTCTCCTTCAGTGTCTTCAGCTTGAAGCACTGATTTCATACAATCATCAATTATTCTAGAAGTGATCTTTCAAAACCCTTATCATTATCTTTTTAGGTTTACCTTCAACACATGAAGTATGTTAAGTCACAGATAAGCTTGGGTTATAGGCAATTTATTCCTGAAACATGAACACAACTANTTTCAGAATACTAATGCTGGGGTTTGTACCAAAGTGCATTCCTTTCAGGCCCGCACCACGCCACCCCTCCCCCCCCACTCTCCTTACAGAAACAAGAAGGCACTACTAAAACAGCTGAGATGAGTTTTGATAGACAGAGAATTAAAGAAATAACAAAAAGAACATATCTACAGTCAACTTAATAATAATAATGTCCTCTAAAATACATTTCACTGTGGAAATCCGCCTCTTTGTAGCGGCGTTATAGCGGTTCCAAGTGGCCCAAAATCCCATACATTCACTGTAATTTTAGCGGTGTTTGCCCCCCAGCCAAGATGGCGTCATAAACCGTGAAAAGGTCTATTTACTAACAGATATTTGTTGCTTCTAATCCTTTTTTTTGTCGAATAAAAATCGAACTCAAATCACTTGATTGCTCTATCCATTTTTATCTATTGGCTACTCCGGGGTGTAACTACACCCAGAACTACACCGACGTTATTTTGAAAGGGCGGCAGGGTCTTAATCATGACTGGGCGCCTACCCGCCTATTTTAAACCCGGTTGTAAAGAAAAGATCAGATTTTTCAGATTTTTTTAAAAGATTTTTTTTAAAAAGTGATGATTGTTTGATCCTTCGACTCTCAGTTGCAACTGAATTGTCAACAAGTTTACTGTTCGCATGAAACCAGTTTTCATTTTTGGATGAACAGATGAAAAGATATCATTAGACTCTGATATAAATCGATGAAATTGGTAAAAATCAAGATAAACAGATAAATGAAACGAGTGTGTCATCGATTTCTACCGATTGATCGATACAATCGATATCAATCAAATCAGTTTTTCCGATTTTTATCGATTCATCGATTGATAAATCGATACCGATTTTTATCGATTGACTACTCCGGGATGTGTACATGTGCCATGCCATCTCATTCATGTCCTATGATGTAAGCGACTCGGAAAGGTTTCCAATTTCACAGGAAGCAATGCTGTTTTTTTTACTCCGAGAACGAATTTTCGCGTTTTGACTCTTCTCGCGTATAAAATTTTGCTTTAAGCCTCGGAGAACGTTAAATGGAAGTCAAGAAATGGGTTCGTTTCTTTGACTGGATGTAAGCAGTCGGCTCCTGCAAATACCGAAAGCTTGCCTTTTTTTAATTTCTCTCCCGCTTCCCGCCATTGTAGAGATCCCGCTTCCCGCCCTTTCTTCTTCCGTCTCCCGTACCCCTCCCGCCCCCTGTTCTCCCGGGCTCCCGCCCCCTGTCCCCCCCCCCACTAGACTGATGGAACTGGATTAAATCTTGAACATTCATTGCTACTCAGAGTTTTGTGTAGCCTCCCACGCAGACGTTCTTAGGGGTTCTTCACGCGTTCCTGCCCCACTGACGTTAATGGGGCAGGAACACGTGACGAACCCCTGCCTCTTGCGAAGCAATCAACAGGCTACGCATTTACAAACGGATATAAAAACTTTTTGAATGAATCAGGAGACGAATGTTGCAAAAGCTCAAGCAGACTTTCAAGAAAGTCCTTTGTCCGATTTAATAATGGCGCAAAACTTTTCGAACGGATGTTAATAATAGACCTTTTCACGGTTTATGACGCCATCTTGGCGGGGGGCAAACACGGCTAAGATTACAGTGAATGTAGGGGATTTTGGCGGGATTTTGGCCCACTTGGAACCACTATAACGCCGCTACAAAGAGGCGGATTTCCAACATTTGCCACTACCTTAAATAGTTTTATTGATATCATTCATTCAACAGAAAATAAGTCTATTAAAGAAAGTACGACATCCGAAAAATTCGAATTATAAATCTTCTCATGTGGCTTCTATTTCATGGTAATTTGCATACTGTTGATTAGAAGGACTTGTATGAAATCTTAAAAATTCGTTTACGGTCGATTAATTCATCGCCTTCATTCGCATTGTAATTGCGGTACAGATTTTGTCCCTCTGCTTTAAAAAAGAATTGAACTGAATAACCTTAATCTCTTCTTTATACTTTATGAAAATAATCTCGGTACAAATGTCTTCTAAAGTACTTTTTCACTGTGGAAATCCGCCTCTTTGTAGCGGCATTATAGAGGTTCCAAGTGGACCAAAATCCCATACATTCATTATAATTTTAGCGGTGTTTGCCCCCCAGCCAACATGGCGTCATAAACCGTGAAAAAGGTCTATTTGCCAACAGATATTAACTGTTTCTTCTAATCCTTTTTTTTGTCGGATAAAAATCGAACTCTAACACCAACTTCGATAGAAATCGATAGTCACATGAAATTTTATGATCGACTTTTATCGATTTCAGATACCTGTCGATTGATTTCTACTCGACATTTATCGACAACGATCGATTTTAATAGACGTTCGAAATCATCGACATGTAACACCCTTTATGGAATGTCCTTATGATAGTCCTCTTTTTTGAAATATTAAATTTGCATAGTAAAATTCCTTGTTGTTTAGTGTCTGCAGGGCAAAATAAATCACCGGAGTCATCTTAGTATATCTAACATATTTTCCAACAAGACAACATCGTCAGGATTTCTTACCTTTTGCACAACAGCCGCGGTAGCAAGCTCAGCTCGTCAGCTTCCAAGACTTCCAGGCGAGAAAGTCACGCGATGTCTTGGTATTTTGATTCACTTGAATTTCTTCTCGGAATACAAAATGAACTATTGTAATCACCAGCCAAAGAGAGAAGTTTCAGCCTCACAGATCGAAATGGCTATCAAGGCGTTCACTGAACTGAAGCTATTTCTTATCACGAGATCAAGTCACTTCCTTGTGAGAAAAAATGTTAGTTTGTACCCAGACTTTACTCGTCTTTGTAGGACCGTGGCAAGGTGGGCAAAAGGTTGGTAGGTCGCCGGCAGGCGCTTTTTTGGTGTGTTTTTCGCTCGTGTTTTGTAAAAAGATGCAGGAATAATGCAGCTGCGCGAACAGCTGGACCGAGGTTAAACAAGAAAACGGTTGGGGAGGTGCCGAGAAGCTTCTTTCTCTCGGCCCCTCCCACGCGTTTTTTTCGTTTCACCTCGGTTCATCCATCGTTTGGCGCTGAATAGAAGCGCGCGGGCTAAGGCGGGGCCGTATCTGTCGGGGAAGGAATGGTTTATAGTGGGCTTCTAAAGCTCTATATGGTCCCAGCTGCTCAAAAGGTGGATTGCTATCCACCGGGAAAATCACTGTCAGGAGCCGATTCACCACCTGTCAATAGTGAGCTTACGCAACAGGACGGTAGAAAGAAGAGGACCGCAAAACAGTTGTGTGTGGCAAACATGACAGGCCTATTACTTACGTGTTTTGTGGTAATCTTTACTTGAGTTAATGTTTTCTGGTCTTTTACAAAAAAAAGACCTGTTTAAAGGAGGGTGAAGATTGGCGGAAAAGTTTCTCTAACAAAATTGTCACGCTTGTCACACAAGGTTTGCCGTCTTCTTTCCTCTCCCGTCCTATTGCGTAAGCCCACTACTGTCCTGTGGATAACGCAGTTGGATAGCGATTTATTTCACTGTGTCACTTGTTTTTACGGTTTTTCTTATAGTATTTTTGCCACCCGTGTATCCTCTCTTGATTTAGGTCATGTTTCCGGTTGTTTTTTTTTTACCCCTTCTGGGAAGGTAGTGGGCAGTGGAGACGATATTCAAGAGGGTCCTGTCCCACTATCTGAACGCATGAATCAGGCCAGGGGGGCCAACTAGGGGTCTTCACGATCAAAATTTCCCCTCAGTCCCGTAATACCAACAGTTAGAAGCAAGCAATTCTGTCAAATATAAAGTCATGTAGGAATTACAAATATTTGTGTGTAATGTGAAGATCACGAGGTTCGAGTTATGTGCATTTATGGCCATAAGTGCAACAAGGTTATTTTTTTTCCATATAATGGCTCCTTAATATAACATTTCCTAAACCCACGTCTTAGAATCGTTAACTTCGAATCTTGTTATCTTTCTGGTCAAAATCCTAAATTATTGCTTTGAAAAAAAGTCCAAATTCTGGATCTAGAAAAACCAGCTGGTAAACCTCAAACAATACAAGCACCTATGGGAAGTCAAACAGCTAGCGAACTTACAGAAGTTAAAAACCTCTGATTAAGAATAACTTTCACTCTGGAGTGTTTATTACCTGTCATTTTATTCAGTGTACATTATTATGGCTTCGGATAAACACAACAAAACTATTTTCCACGGGTGAAGAATATATTATTTAAATAATTTTTATGTTCACCATACAGGCTCCAGCAGGGTGTTGCCACTGAAATTCCTTTCCCTCTATCTCTAGCCTGTAATACAGTGTCCAGGCGCGGATCCATACCGGTTTCCACCGTTTTACGGAAATCGGTCAGATTTTCCACAATAAATATTAGCAAAGACTTTTAACTTTCCAACTGCAATCTGGAAAATGGTTTGGAAAGTCAAAAAATATCCTGTCTGAATGACTCATAAACCCTAGAAAGGAGATTCTGAGGAGTTAAAAATCAAAAGAATTTCCGGGGGAGAGTGGCGCCAGACCTCCCTAAAAGTAGTGGACTACGAGTAGTCCCCCCCAGGCAACACGCGGCGGGGAGAGAGCGTGTCGCCTTTTCTCGCGTGGGGTAATTTTCACGCGCGCTCGCGTTTCGCTCTCTCTACTATCCCTGAGGAAAAATGGGGGATTACTCGTAGTCTATTAGAGTAGGGAATCGGTTAGTATTTATTGTAGATCCACGCCTGGGAGAGAAATTGATCTTGATTTAACAAAGCGATCAAATTGCTTAATGAGCCGAGACTACGAAAAGTTAAGACGGGGGATATAGCGATATTTTACAAACATTAAAACACACAGCCCTTCCGTCTACAGTGTAGGTGCCACAAGGCGAACAGCTCCACATGTAACTTCCCATCCAATCAAAGCAACGTTCTTAAGTCACGTGGGGTCTGTGCAAGCAATTGGTTCTTCACAAAACATTTCATCAAGCAAAGCAAAGCAAGGATTGCAAACTCTGACATTCTGATTGTAGGCAAACGCTGGAATCCTGAAAAAGAAGACATGTCCTCGTTGTTAATTTGTCCACCAAAAGACGATATGAAGAGATGAGCGCCTCTCTTACTCTCTCTTACTCTCTTCTTCCCCCTGTAGTGTAACACAGGTTTTCCCACTTGGAAAGGAATGTATGTCTCTTCTTCAGTTTTGTGTGATTCCCCTCAGTGATTCAATTACGAAAGACCGCCGCAGAATTTGTGGTCCGGCCAGCGGAGGCTGCATGCTTATCCTATAAGCTGGGAAGTTTAAAAACTTAGAGCTCACGATGAAACTTCAACGGCTTAAAATTTCTTAACTTTTAAGATTGCCTCTGTCAGTTTCTGTTAAACAGCAAGAGAGGATATCCTTTCTTGTAATCAGCTGGCTACGAGACAAAACACTGTGACACCTGCAACTGATAACAAAGTAAATCATGTTGAACTTACGGAGCTGACTGATCTGTGCAGTTGTGACAGAAAACGCGGCCGCAGCATCGACAATGATAGCGTCTTCTATAGTCTACAACAAACACCAAATGCATCTGTGTTAAGCTAATAGAACCCAAACCAATCAAAAGAATAAACACACGTTTTCTAATTTTCAAATCCTGAGCGGTTTGATGCCCATAGAATAACACTGATTGCGCCTACACTCACCCATGTTTGGAAACGAAATTTGTTCCGTGGACTTCTGGTGTCCGTTTTCGGTCGAAAATTTGGTTTATCAATTGAGTTGACATAAGGTAAATATCGTAAAATATGAGCTTCTACGGCACAATTTCGGTATAATGTCGACGAAAATGTTACCAAAGATTTGAAATCATGGAGTAAAGGCAACCTCCTTTCCAGGGCCCCCTCCCATTTCCTAAAGGGAAAGGCCCTGGGAACAACGTTTGCGTGAAAGTAGCCTTGTATTCAATAAAACAAGACACAAAACTTACTTGAGTGAATGGTGCTCGACATTTGCTGTTTGAACAGTAGTTAACAAGCTGCGAAAAAAATACATTACCTGCATTAAAAAGTGGTTAAGACTAACCAATCAACAGGCGTGTGATAGCAATCAAGTCAACAATACGGGGATTGAAAAGATATGGGAACTTTGATGAATCGGCACAATATGAAAATATAAGGTTTGAAATATATTTACGTTTTATTTGAATTCAAACAAACATAATTTTCTACTTCTCAGGGGGGTCATTTGCTAATAATAATAATAATAATAATAATAATAATTTTATTACTTATAACGCACAAATTCGCATATGCATGTATATGATCAATGCGCGTTACAGAAATTGGCTGATTTTAATAAAAAATAGTCTTAACTAAGGATTTCAAAGTAGTAAAATTCTTTTCGTGTCTTAAGTGACAAGGAAGGGCAAAAACCAGTTCCCGGTGTCGGATTTTCAGTAGCAGGTCTAGATCGCGCAATTTTCGGCTTTTATCGATTTGAAAGTTTTTTTAATTGTTTATTGTTTCATAGTGATACCGATTTTACTTAATGCTACATTTTGACAAACTTCAATCCAAAGTCAGTCAGTTGTGAACATTTTCTAGCGGACAAAGATAAAATCACTTTTTAGGCGATGGAAAAATATCGGTATGGTTTTCGAAAAACTGTATCGAAACACCTAAGTAAACAGTTTATTGTATTTGTCCTCTATAAGCCCCAATATCTCAGTACAGTCTATAGGTCTATTCTTACCTCATCTGGTACCCACGATAATCTGAAAGTGTTTTGTAAATATAGTACCTCGGCTCGGTCCCTTTCAGCTTGATTAAGCCGTGTGTTTGCCTGGAAAAAGAGACTATTTGCTTCACAGTGTACAAGTAAAAGACGAAAAACTGAATACAGACGTACTGAAAGACCTGAAATCTAGCCTAAAACTAACCTCGTGAATAGCTGCTTCCGTTTCCTGACGAATTTTGGCCATTTTGTTGACAAATGTAGCTTCACACTGCATCAAACCACAAATAAGAATTTTTTTAATATCAGCAGAGGCGTTCCAATTTCACGTTACGAATGTGTTCGGTAAATTAACTTTCCCACAAAAGAGTAAAAAAAAACGACTAAATCGATGAATTCACACCAAAAAGTACAGGAATACATCAAAGGTAAGTCTCCTTTATTCATTTTATAGAAAAAAAAGTAAAAATAATGATATTTAGCGTTCGCAGACCTCAGTATTTTATTTCTCATACAAAGTCTCAACGGTTGCTTGTAACGCGACACTGACTCTCTTGTGAGAAAGTTAATTTACATAACATACTCGTACCGTGAGCTTGGGACGCCTGTGATATTTGTGAACAATAGGACAGCAGATGAAAGAACACGGCAGAACCTTTTGTTACAACTATGTTCAAAAAGATTTTCCGCCCGGCCAAACTTCACCTTCCTTTAAACAGATCTTTTTGGAAAAGCAGAGAACACCGTAAACTTAAGTAAATGATCACGACAAAACCCTCAAGTAATAACCCGGTCACGTTTGTCATACAAATCTTTTTGCCGGCCTCTTCTTTCTGCCCTGTTGTTGAAGGGAAACTTTAGCCTTGAAGCGCGCGGACCATAGTTTGTACTCGACAGGCGCTGAACTTTATTTCATAAATGTATTGTACATTGTATCACAACTCCGCTAGATAATTTTGATAATGTAGAAGCCGTGAAACCAGCCTCGGTCCCAGGGCGCTTTCCTCGCCCTTCCCACATTTGAAGGAAAAAGCGCTTTGAGGACGTGAGACACCTCCTCAGAGAAATCAATCAAATCAGGAATCAAGTGCCTGGCCTTTCTCACGCAAGCTATGGAGCAGAGAGAAAATACGTCATTTTCTGCTTATTTAGCACACCGAGCGTACTGGAAAAAACTGTCACTGAGATATGTATGGTGGCCGAGAACAGTGCCAATCGAAAAATCCTCATATTGAAGGAATATGAGTTTAAGACCTTGTTTAACGTACATCTGCATTGCTCCTTTAAGAAGGTGATCTTCCTTCCACGATGAAAAGCTGTTATCAGCCATCTTCGAGCTTCTCCGAGAGGTAGGTCTGTGCCACTTTCGTTTCTATTTTCATTTGGTACGTCTGTGTCCCTATTTTTATCTGGTAGGTCTGTGACCCGTTTGTTACTTTTTTTTTTTTTGGTAGGTCCGTGCCTTGTTCGTAACTATTTTTATTTGGTAGATCTGTGCCCTCCATTGGGTGTGGTAGATCTATGCCCAATAACGCTACAACAATACTTTACCTCAAAAGACTGCGAATAGTCTCCCTTGGAATTGGAACTGAATACTATCAGAACATCTGATACTACTATCAAAACGGCGTTAAACCAGCAATAAACTTTTGCCGCTATAACTTACCACTGCTGCACTAGCGATAGACTGCATGAGTCTTTTGCAACGCTGCTCAAGGTCCTCTTTCTCAGCTTGACACTTCATCAGCTTTTCCTGAATAATACGGTGGAAAATATAAAGATCTTGGGTAACATTTGTACGGGAAACCGGAAATTCCAGTTGGAAATTAAATGGTTCGCGTCAATTCGTCAGGGAAGCTTTAGAAAATATGGGCTGTATATCAAAATACAAATTCACTTTTCTTGTCCCAAATGTTTCTTATAGGAATACTGCTAAAATGTCGTGAGAATTTATCCTCGTCCCTCATTGCATCGGAGGGGTTTCCATGTGATTATCTCGACCACCCGAACACATTTTGGGAAGCCTTAGACAATGATTATGGAAACCAAGCTAAACCAGACAACAAGTAAACGAGGTTTGTCCAGTAAATACTCTTTTTTCACTTACAGATTTATGTAAGTAGGGTTAAATACTGAGGCCTCGGCCGATTGAAAATAGTTTAGACCGCAGTCTTGTTACGCAAAGCCTTCTTTGAAGACTTTCTGAGACTTTCCGGGTTAAGTTGCCGTAAATGTGGTTGTGTCTTGATTACGCAGATCAGTGAATTAAAAGGATCAAGTACCTCGAGTTTTGAAGGGTTTGCCACCACACACGGTAATAAATCCGGTCTGATGATAGGTTCCACATCAGCTGTAGGAATGTTAGATGATGGAGTGCCGCTACTTGAACCAAAGAAACGATTAACTACAATAAAAGGGATGGAAAACCAGTACCAGATAAACTGATGTCTTTCAATATCATTGAGCTCAAATTTATATAAATACCCGTCTTCCCAAGGGGCTGGTGATCACCGGCGAACGCTACGGAGAGAATTATTTTGATAATAGTAACAAAGGCGAAAATAGATGGCTAATAAGCGCGCCTGTCCCTGAAGGGCTTGATAAACTTTGCCTATTCGTAATTTTAACTGTCGATAAGGCAGACACCTCTCTGAAGCGGTCAGCCAAACTTGGTTTGGATTAGAAATTGGCCCCTAACTGAGCGAGGAGAATAACCACTTCAAGCATTGAAGGAGGGTTTGAATATCACAGCAAATATAAGAGAAGACAAGGATGGGCAATATGGAAACACCGCATCTAAGAGAATACGGATTCCGGAATCATCCGAAAATATGTTTGCTTGTGGAATCCGGAATCCGGGAAATTTCGGAATTTAGGCTTTGAAATGTGGAATACAGCTCGAGGAATCCAGAACCCCACTAACAGTTGGAATCTGCAATCAGAAATTTACTGAGAAAGAATCCGGTATCCACGGCGTAGAATCCAAAATCCAAGACTGTGTTGGATTCCATTGCTTGAGGACTGCATTTGCATGGATTTTTTGAAACGTTTCATCTTAACAGTTTTTCAAAGTTTCTCTCCGTTTGTTTGTCACGCTTGGGAGACACATTTGTTTGTCAGATGCTGTGATTTTGTCATTTACAAGTAATATGATTTCCTTCCTTGTACAGAAAGCCAAGTATCTCTAAGAAGAAGAGCTTTTGGAATAATGTCCGGCTGAAGAACGTTTAGTGCCATTACTAGTAAGAAGTTTACCATATAGTGCCTACAGCTCTAAGCTTCTCACCTGGAGTTTCGGACCGAAGCTCCTCACACGAGTTATGCTTTCGAAGACTCTGAAAACAAAGACAACAAAATATGTGACCATAATTTCAAGAAATTTCTACAGTATAAGGATCCAAACACCAGAAGTAAAACTATTATTAATACAGCTTCTCCCTTTTAACGAGTTGTTTAATCAACTAATATCAAATTCTCCATAAACTCATGGGGTGGGGGTGGGGGAAGAAGGATGTAAACATGCGAAAAAGAATTGCGTAATTGAACTGTGCCTTACATTGAAATGTTAAGACTCAAATTAAACACTCCAGGAGAATGACAAAGAAGCTATAGTCATGCTTGTTTTGATCTGTTTGAGTTGCTACAGTGTTTCGCCTTAATCGGAAATAAAGTTTCCCACTTCAGTGTTATTTTATGCGTCTTGGTACTTTCGTGTAGGTTAAAAATTTGCAAGGAATATTTAACTCACCCAGTCAAGGGACTTAGTTTTGTCTTCTCTTCTTAAAAGTTCTGGTGTCTTCAACAATTAATTTTATGTCTTTCTTGCGGATTATCTGAGTTTTATAATAACAAAAACTGTATGAAAAATCATAAACTTCACAACAAATACAACAGGGATCAATGCCAAGTCACATTTCTATAAACATTTTGCAGAATACTGTTTATTTTAGCATGCTTAATTTAAAACACCATCGTAAGTGGGTAGATTTGTCAATTTTGGCGACCTCATACCTAGGGCCTACGCTTCCAGAGAGGCCGTGAGAACGAGATTGCACCTTGGTCGCCCTGTGTGCTGCTTTGTGCCATCTCTGTTTAGGGCATGATCACTGTTCACACTCACCCACGAGATTTTCGAGCCTGATGAGTATGACATTTTCTTTTGCAGTTGTATGTAAGATGTTCTATCCGCGCGTAGCGGGGATCAGACTTTTCCGTGCTGGGCTATGCACGTGACAAAATGAATACTTTATCCTTCTTAAGACAAACCTTTACAGCTGTAGGAATGTTAGATGATGGAGTGCCGCTACTTGAACCAAAGAAACGATTAACTACAATAAAAGGGATGGAAAACCAGTACCAGATAAACTGATGTCTTTCAATATCATTGAGCTCAAATTTATATGAAGACCCGCCTTCCCAAGGGGCTGGTCATCACCGGCGAACGCTACAGAGAGAATTATTTTGATAATAGTAACAAAGGCGAAAGTAGATGGCTAATGTGCGCGCCTGTCCCTGCAGTGCTTCATAAACTTTTATTCGCCTATCTGCAATTTAACTATCGATAAGGCAGACACCTCTCTGAAGCGGTCAGCCAAGCTTTGTTTGGATAGCAGTTGGATTAAAGCTGTGTCACTAAAGTACAAATTGGCCCCTAACTGAGCGAGGACAATAACCACTTCAAGCATTGAAGAAAGGTTTGAATATCACAGCAAATATAAAAGAAGACAAGGATGGGCAACATCGAAACACCCCATCTAAGAGAATACGGATTCCGGAAATATCCGAAAATACCGTAAAATTCCGAAAATAAGCCCCGGGGCTTATATTTTTCAAAGGCCCTTTTTGAGGGGCTTATTTTTGGAGGGGCTTATATTTGGAGGGGCGATTTAACGGAGGGTTTTTGGCGTTACGAGTTGGGGGGGCTTATATTTGGAGGGGCTTATACATGGAGGGGCTTATTTTCGGAATTTTACGGTATGTTTGCTTGTGGAATCCGGAATCCGGGAAATTTCGAAATTTAGGCTTTGAAATGTGGAATACAGCTCAAGGAATCCGGAATCCCACTAACAGTTGGAATCTGCAATTAGAAATTTGCTGAGAAAGAAACCGGTATCCACGGCGTAGAATCCAAAATCCAAGACTGTCTTGGATTCCATTGCTTGAGGACTGCATTTGCATGGATTTTTTGAAAAGTTTCATCTTAACAGTTTTTCAAAGTTTCTCTGCGTTTGTTTGTCACGCTTGGGAGACACATTTGTTTGTCAGATGCTGCGATTTTGTCATTTACAAGTAATACGATTTTCTTCCTTGTAGAGAAAGCCAGCCAAGTATCTCGAAGAAATAGAGCTTTTGGAATAATGTCCGGGTTAAGAAAGTTCAGTGCCATTACCAGTAAGATTAAGTTTACCATATAGTGCCTACAGCTCTAAGCTTCTCACCTGGGGTTTAGGACCGAAGCTCCTCATACGAGTTATGCTTTCGAAGACTCTGAAAATAAAGACAACAAAATATTGATAAATAATTTCAACAAATTTCTACAGTATTTAAGGATCCAAGCACCAGAAGTAAAATTAATACGGCTTCTCCCTTTTAACGAGTTGTTAATCAACTGATATCAAATTATCCATAAACTCATGGGGTGGGGGTGGGGGGTGGGGTTGAAGGAGATGTAAACACGGGAACAAGAATGGTGTAATTGAACTGTGCCTTACATTGAAACGTTAAGACTCAAATTAAACACTCCAGGAGAATGACAAAGAAGCTATAGTCATGCTTGTTTTGATCTGTTTTGAGTTGCTACAGTGTTTCGCCTTAATCGGAAATAAAGTTTCCCACTTCAGTATTATTTTATGCGTCTTGGTACTTTCGTGTAGGTTAAAAATTTGCAAGGAATATTTAACTCACCCAGTCAAGGGACTTAGTTTTGTCTTCTCTTCTTAAAAGTTCTGGTGTGTTCAACAATTTATGTCTTTCTTGCGGATTATCTGAGTTTTATAATAACAAAAACTATGTGAAAAAATCATAAAATTCACAACAAATACAACAGGGATCAATGCCAAGTCACATTTCTAAAATTTTGCGGAATACTGTTTATTTTAGCATGCTTAATTTTCAAACACCGTCGTAAGTGGGTAGATTCATCAATTTTGGCGACCTCATACCTAGGGCCTACGCTTCCAGAGAGGCCGTGAGAACGAGATTGCACCTTGGTGGCCCTGTGTGCTGCTTTGCACCATCTCTGTTTAGGGCATGATTACTGTTCACACTCACCCGCGAGATTTTCGAGCCCGATGAGTATGACATTTTCTTTTGCAGTTGTATGTAAGATGTTCTATCCGCGCGTAGCGGGGATCAGACTTTTCCGTGCTGGGCTATGCACGTGACAAAATGAATACTTTATCCTTCTTAAGACAAACCTTTTGCCATCCATTTCGGGCTGTTGGGTGGTACGTTTTCATTAATGTGTCTCACAATCGTAGCCACATACAGCTTTAACATTGGGTCTTTGGTTGAGAACCCTGCAACAGAAAACATACATTATACAAGTGATTGATAACTACAGCATAATCCTCATATCCGAGTTAACCAGAAAAAAAGCTTAAAAAATCTTTCCATTCCATTAAATTTGTAAATAAGATGGAAGTTCAGTTAGATTATTTACCTGTTGGGGTTTGTAGCCTTTCTTGTAAGTTCTGTACTGCAACATCAACTGCAAGATTATTTTTTAGACAGAATTAAAACTTAAAAAGATTTTATGGCACTTGTACGTCACAGCCTAGTAGTAGTTTGAATTCATGTACAATGGGAAGAACGTCCCAGACATCCTCAAGTGTATAAAGTTATTCATCCTCAAGTGTATAAAGTTATTCGCTACTTTCAAAAAGAAAATGGAACCGGAGCCGACAAAGCGATTTTCGTATGACCTTGAAAAATGGTTTCGGTGTGTTCGTTATTTGTTTTATCAGGCAATCGATGAAAAGATCAAAACATGGACTCTTCGTTTTCCCGCCAAAGGAAGTTCGCTTAACCAACCAAAACCCACGAGCGTTTGTATGCGTTCGACAAACTTATCAAATCACTCTATTTCTGCTCGTTTGTTGTTTCTGAGACTGTTTTGTTCGCGCGTTATTATTTCAAGGTCATACGAAAATGGATCTATACGTCCCGCAACTGTTCCTGGCCGGGATCGTTACTGGGGACGCGCCGGTCCGTTCAATATTGGCCAATTTTTTTCATGCCCCTAGTAACAGTCCCTGAAGTCTTAGCAACGTAACCTCGTTTTAAAAGTAAGAGTTTTTGGAACTCAAAGCCTATTTGTAAAAAGGATCTGTAATGTTATCAACTTAATCAAAAAGCTTACACAGAGAAATCTTGCATAACATGTATTATGGTGGGTTTGTTTTACCTTCCACAGCTCTCAATAGTTGAACCAGCTCCTGTTTGCCACCAGAACGGGATGCAAGGTCTGCTGCTGTCTCTAATGTGTCAGTCAAGGCAAACACTGGAACACGCATCTTAACAGGGAGAGTAAAGTGGGAGAGGAGCGGAGGGGAGGGAAGCAAATCATTAGTGCACATACTTGGTTAGGTCAAAATAAATCAGTTTGCCCCATCCTGTCAAAAAAGGATTTATCAGTATACTACTAAGTAGTAATAACTATAGAAGTTTTATGGACTGCATGCAGCATTTCAGCTTCCATTTTCTGGAAGGTGTTCGCGCCAAGTTTACGGTACGGTGACTTCTCTAAAGGAATGTGGTTCGGTTCTCAACAGCCGTTTGTGGGGAGCAGTATTGCGTGAAGACAGAAAGAACGGCTGTGAAGCAGACTATGCCTTTGGGAAATTGGTGATAATGTCACTTGTCCCTGAGAAATCTATGGGGATGCCAAATACACATCCCAAGATCCATTCAACCACCAACGGTCGTCCAATACAATATCATCACCTGACTCGTCTCCAGTCATCTCTCACTATCTCTCCCTGGTGGCGCGTGGGGTGTGATGGGAAGGAGGAAAGTGAGGCAGACAGATGACCATCTTTCTGTCTTCTCCCTTCCCATCATCCCCTGCTCCCGCCGTGCCTTACGAGCGAAGACTACTGGGAACAAGTCCGTATCATCACTCAGATCTATTATGAGGTGCTTTGCTTTTGGGCACAATATTTACAAGTAGACCTTATTTGCATCTTGGTTAATGTTAAATCACGAGAAAAGCCGTTACGGATTAATTCCTTTGTAAATTGCTCATATTAATGATCACATTCATCCATTGTCCCCAGAAACACAAAGCAGCAAACTTTCATACGGTATAACATGATTTGTAACAAGCAGATACCATTTCAGCAAGTAAAGGTCTTCCCTGTACATTGCATTGTAGTATTATAATGTATGGTGAATTAACTGTGTCTGCGCAAAAACATCAAAGTGAGAAAACAGGGGCAACCAAATGCAGATTTCTTCTAGGAGCTTTGAAAACATCTTTTAGGCTATCTACAGTGCTTTTAAAGCTGTAAAAATGCACTTTAAGTGACACCACAAAATTTGGATCTGTTTGGTTGTAAATTAAGGCAACTTTTAGTTAACCTTTTTTAATTTATTTAACGCTTTCTAACCGCATTATTATTACTTTCCAGAACAATATTATATTCTCACTTTCCAGAAAATCTTATCTTCCGTTTTGTCAGTAAGTACCTGTATGAGAAGTTCACCACACTCCACATGACTTTCACTTGATCCTTTCCTACAGATCAATCACATAATATCAGTAATACATGGCTGCTTAATCAAAAATTAGAATCTAGACCGCATTTTTGCCTCATTGACGTGGAATATTCAATATTCTATTCTGACACAAAATGAAATTATCATGGAGGCATACTGATGCAAAAAAGGTTACCTAATATACAAGTACTTCCAAAGCAGCAGTCAATATTAAAAATAAAAAAGGTGTGATTACTAGCCTGAAATAAGTGCACAAAATGACTGTCATTTCAGACTATGTGTTTATGAGTGCTTTTTGTGTCAGGCCTTCCATGCGGTACAGAAAGAGACTGGAGTGTACATTTCCATGCTCTGCATAGTTGTTGCTTTGCCGATCAATACACGCTTTGTTTCTTTAATAATTTGTGCTTTTTCTTTATTCATTATGAAACAAAAACAAAAGCTAAGTTCATTTATTTACGTAAAAGAGAATGAAAGTTGAACCTGAAAAGCATGGAGATGAGCTGGATAATTAAGATGGTGAAGCTCATGATAGTTGTTCAAAGTTTCAATATCATAGTTTGACCCAGACCATTTTTGAAATTGATCCAATTTAAAATGCCACATGGGACGTATGACCCACTCTCACCAATTTCTAGACTGAACAGTCTGCTTAATAATACACACCACAAGCTAATCTCTTTGTACCACATAATTCATCACTACTAATTATATGCTTTAAATATTTTAATTTAATAGGATTTCATAAAAATTTGTGTAACATGTTTTTTAACCATTGTCATGTAAACTTACCATGCAAGGGCATGAAGAGGGGTCCAAGATTTCTAGATTGGATAACAAAAGAAATATTATTAATAATAAGTAGTAGTCTTGATATTCATTTATTCATTTCTAGTATGTAACATTCCATAAACTTACATTGTTGACTGCTGTCACATCTGCATTTCGTTCCTGTTGAATTTTAAATAAAATAAATAAAAAAGAAGGGATTTAAATTATGTAGCTAGTTTACAGGGCTGATATACATGGCTTAACCCTGAAAACTGTTGTGTGCAGAGAAACATTATGACGTGTGTATTTCGAGAGTCAGAATGACATGCCATTTTTTCTGTTAGAGATACGAGGATCAGGAATCAGCAGAGGGTTAAATCCCCTTTAATTAATTATCATCATCATCACCATCACTATTATATCAAATTTATATCATTCTGTATGAATATATTAGCCTAGTCAAAGAATCCTGTAGTTTGGATTTAACTTACAACGCAGACCAGTACCAAAAAATGCCAGACTTTGTAGCAAAATGTGCTTAATTCAAGATGGAACAAAGCGCAAAAAATATTCCCTTGCAAGATTTTAAGTTTGGGTTCAAAAAGCTTCCAATCATGAGACTCTGTCCTGGCTTTACAATTGAAGAGGTGCATGCAACAAGGCCCTACAAGGTGTCTGCTAATCTGCTAATCTCCCTTTAATTTTCAAACATATTATACAATATAAATTGCTTAATTATTATATATAGAATCAGGGAACTTTTCATTAAGAATTTAGTAGCAGGAGAAAGGTGTAATGTTACAGGAGAGTATTGTGAAAGACACTCTGCATCTGAATAAAAATAGTCATATAGGCTATCAAACGTTAGCCAGAGAATTCTGCATAGTAAACAGAGAATTCTCTGATCTCGTTTGCCTAATGAATACACTGTAGAATAATGACTGTAACAATCAAGACACTGGGCCAAAATTGTAATGGAAAGTTGGAAACTTTCTCAAGGTTGTTAAATTACTAGAGACAAATTGAGACCAAAATTAGTTACCATTAAGAGAGCCACACAAGGGAGATGGCCACCTTCTGCAGCAAAAAAGAGAGTAGTGTTCTTGTCCTCGTCTACAAAAAGAAATAACAAAATAATATTCACTGTGATTTCATTCAAAGGTAGGATCAAACATTCTTATGGGAAAGAAATAAAAAAATTTATTTTGCCAGTGAATCTTTATTTACCAGTATAGAAGAAATAATTCAAAGTGGGTTTGTTCATAATTATTTAAAATTAAATTATTACCTCTAATATTGATGTCAACATTCTCATGATTCAGTAAAGTAACCATGGAATAATGGTCTCCTGGAAATACAGCAACTCATTTTTACTGATATTAAATAAATCAAAATTAATATACTCTGAGAGGGGGACATTGGGGGGTAACCAATACCGCAATACCGTAAGAAAAATTGGCAAATACTGAAATACTGTGTCGAAAATCAATGAAATACCGACACTGCATTTACGATCGGTCATGTTTACTTAAAGCTGTATCCATCTCGCGTGTTTGTGTATCTCAAGCGTGTTTCCACCAGAAATCAACCTCGGACACTGCGAGAAAACGTTAGAAGACCTCAACGGTTCAATGATCGAAAAGCCCGGTCATTGGATGCCCTTTTAATTTCGTCAAGGATTGTGTAATCATTCACCACTTCAAGTCTAAAGTCTAAAAAAATATATTAACTTTTATTAAAGTGTTTAGCTTACTGTGGTTAGTGCTGCATATTGTATTGACCTGAATTAGACAGAAGAGTGCAAATAAATGGTACCGCAATACCGTAAAGGATGTTCTTTTACCTACAGCTGTAATACCATTAACCAAAAGGATGAAAAACCGCATACCACAGGGCTAGATGATACCTCATTACCGTACATTAAAATCAAAATTTCTGAAATACCGCTTGAAAAAAAGCTCAATACTGCAACACCGTAATCCCCCATGTCCCTCTGCTCTGACTAACTAATTATTTTCTAAATGATTAAAATACATTACAGTGGTACTACATGCATTCAGAGTCATCACTCAGTTGAAAAAATATTGAGTCATAAATTAGTCATAAATTAATCACATTCTGTTAAAAAGTTACCATTACAAAAAAATAGCAAAACACATCTGTAGGCACTAGAAAATATGGCAGAAGCCCTAGATCACAGATTATTGTACAACTGATCAGCACTGTGAATAAGATTTGAAGTACATGTACAAGGGGCTTTACTGTTGAAGTACACATGTATGACTTGCTAGTTTTTGACTTGGTTAGTTTTCGGCAGTCTTTTGATATTAGATTAGTGTTAAGCATATTATTACCTGTTTTAGCAGCTTCGAACAAAGCTCTTTTCCTTTGTTCAGGATTTAAACTAGACAAACTTGACACCACAACGAATGCATCAGATGTTCCAGATGATGTTGAATTTGCTAAAGATAAAAGAAAATGTTATTTTAATAAAGACTTTTTCATTTCCATGTACTGTTATGATGTAGTCTAAAATGAAATTTACTGTTGTTTCATCCTAGTTTGATTCTCAGTTTCCTCTTTCCTAACTGCTTTCTGATAGACGGCTGAGACGGTTACCAGTTTGGCAATGCAAGGAGACAGTGTAACACTTCAGAAAACAAGTTTGCCATCCAACATAATTTTCCTGTTGATACAAATTTATGTCATCATCATCACTATCATCATCATCATTATCATTATCACCATCAACAAGTCTCTCAGTGCCAGAATTAGGAAAACAAGGACCTGGGGGCATCTTTATACTCTGGTATTTATTCAATTTATATTTATTTCATTTAGCTATTTGTCAGACTGCTTGAGTTTTTAAAGTAATCAACAATATCATATAATATCTCGGACTGGGTAAATTTAACACACCTCTTCCTGTTCTAGCCTCTTCTATAGCTGACAAAGCCTTCTGGGCGTTCATTTCATCTTCTTTTTGTTTTAAGAGACATCTTGTACATACCTAGCAGAATGATAAAGGACTACTGACAGTAGATCAATGCTCAGTCAATTGACCACTTTTTCAATGGCCCTCTAAAATGTGGGCAAGAAAATTTTCATATCCGCAAACTGAACTTTTGTGAAACAGACAAATTGCAATAGAAATAAGAAATATGCCTCAGTTCCTGTGAGTGCACTTAAAACTGAAGCCATAGTGATGCAGTTGCATGAATCTTACCATAAGACATTCCAGCGATCAATTATGTTCAGTAAAAAGACATTGAACTTTTGTCTCTTAACATTGTATGTCAACACCCCTGAGATGTTTCGTGATTGAGTCTGTTAAGTTTAATGGAGTAATGGCCAACAGTTACAAAGATTGTTTGCCAAAAGAAGAAAAATTAACCCCCTTTCTTACATTCCACTCTACATTACTGATAAAACTCATTCATTATTTTTATAAAACCTAACATGATTTTCAAATGGATGTAATAGGCTAAGCGGGATTTAACTATTTACTTATTATCTGACAAATAAATTCTTAACAGTGACGTACCTTTACAGCTTTGTTAACAACAACATGACAGGTAACACACACTGCAGTGGAACATGTACGACAATGAGAACTAACAAACAAAAGAATGTGGAATTATTATCATGACAAGAGGTAAGAAAGTGGTGCATAATAGCAAAAACACATCTGTAGGCACTAGAAAACATGAAGAAGCCCTAGATCACAGATTATTGTACAACTCAGCACTGTGAGAAAGATTTGAAGTACATGTACAAGGGGGCTTTACTGTTGAAGTACACATGTATGACTTGTTAGTTTTTGACTTGGTTAGTTTTTGGCAGTGTTTTTATATTAGATTAATGATAAGCATATTATCACCTGTTTTAGCAGCTTCAAACAAAGCCCTTTTCCTTTGTTCAGGATTTAAACTAGACAAACTTGACACCACAACGAATGCATCAGAAGTCCCAGATGATGTTGAATTTGCTAAAGATAAAAGAAAATGTCATTTCAATAAAGACCTTTTCATTTCCATGTACTGTGTTATGATGTAGTTTAAAATGAAATTTACTGTAGTGGTTTCATCCTAGTTTGATTCTCAGTTTCCTCTTTCTCCTAACTGCTTTCTGATGGCAGTTACCAGTTTGGCAATGCAAGGAGACAGTGTAACACTTCAGAAAACATGTTTGCCATCCAACATAATTTTCCTGTTGATACAAATTTATGTCATCACCATCACTATCTTCATCATCATTATCATTATCACCATCAAAAAGTCTCTCAGTGCCAGAATTAGGAAAGCAAGACCTGGGGGCATCTTTATACTCTGGTATTAATTTTATATTTTTATTTCATTTAGCTAGTTGTCAGACTGCTTGATTTTTTAAAGTAATCAACAATATCATATAATATCTCCTACTGGGTAAATTTAACACACCTCTTCCTGTTCTAGCCTCTTCTATAGCTGACAGAGCCTTCTGGGTGTTCATTTCATCTTCTTTTTGTTTTAAGAGACATCTTGTACATACCTAGAAGAATGATAAAGGACTACAGTAGATCAATGCTCAGGCAATTGACCACTCTTTCAATGGCCCTCTAAAATCTGGGCAAGCAAATTTTTTGAAACATATTGGCAAACTGAAGTTTTTTGAAACAGACAAATTGCAATAGAAATTCTATAATAGTCAGTATGCCCCAGTTCCTGTGAGTGCACTTAAAACTGGAGCCATAGTGATGCAGTTGCATGAATCTTACCATAAGACATTACAGCGATCGATTATGTTCAGTATAAAGACATTGAATTTTTGTCTCTTAACATTGTATGTCAACACCCCTGAGATGTTTCGTGATTGAGTCTGTTAAGTTTAATGGAGTAATGGCCAACAGTTACAAAGATCATTTGCCAAAAGAAGAAAAATTAACTCCCTTTCTCACATTCCACTCTACATTACTGATAAAACTCATTCATTATTAATTTTTTATAAAACATAACATGATTTTGAAATGGATGAAATAGCGGGATTTAACCATTTACTTATTATTTGACAACATAAATTTTTAACAGTGACGTACCTTTACAGCTTTGTTAACAACGACATGACAGGTAACACACACTGCAGTGGAACATGTACGACAATGAGAACTAACAAACAAAAGGATGTGGAATTATTATCATGACAAGAGGTAAGAAAGTGGTGCATTGTTCTACTTAAATTCTAAATCTAAAGAGGTGTTCATAAGCACCTTACTCTTTAATAAGGGGGAGAAAAATAATCATAATTTATATTATGCAAATTAACATAAAAATGTGATTAAATGCACATTAATTAGAAATTAGAATTAAGGGAGTATAAGTATTTAGACTTACCTGTCCTTTACTAATCTTGTTTCTATAGCATGACAAAGCAACTAAGAATATTTCTAATCCCCCCTGTCAAAAGGTTTGCTTTAGTCCATAATGTTACATTTGCTGGTACTGGTTCATACACTTGGATGGAGTGCCAGTCGCATCGAGAGTAAAGTGTCTTGCCCAAGAAATTATGAATTAAGCAAGGTCAAGGATCCTAGCTAGCCACAGCTAGAACCCAGATTTTTTGATCTGGACTCCAGAGCACCGACAATAAGGTCATATGCCTCCAAGATTTCAGAGTACTATGTGTACACTGTACATAATGAAAATGGAATCCATGCATGCATTATGATAAACACTAAATGTAACAAGGGTAGCTCTAGTGTTAACTTTTTTTATTTACAATAATATATGTTAAATTGAGTAAACATTATAAGATGCTCACCGTCCTTTGATCAAGTTAGTTCCCCAATACTTCTGAAATATTGTTCCACACTTGGAACAATTCTGCCAAATAAAAAGTAACAATTTATCCTGAGTTCTACAAGTGCAAGCAATTCATGGGTACAGTTTAACTTA